GATTATTACTCGCATTGACAATCGATCATACGCATGACTCTCTATTTTATCTTAATCTATGCTCGAGAAGAATATCAGACAAAGAGCTTGTCTGACAGAAAAATCAAGGAATAATGGATAACTGACCGAAAAAATTCCAATGAATAACTTTCAATTCAACAAAATAGTTGAAACAAAATGATCGCTCTTCACAAAGTTTAGACTTTGACTAAAACAGATTTCTCATGTTGTAGCAAATCCGATTTCCGTGAAGAAAAAGTTCTCTCTCTCTCATTTTATAGTTTTTCTTGTCTCTATTTTAGACTATTCATTACATTCTCCATTCAGCACCAACATTCATCCGAATGCTCGATGGCAACAGAATGGTATCACTGTGGCTGGAGGAAATCGACGAGGCAATGGAATCAATCAACTCTCAGACCCATGTGGTTTGTATGTTGATGATGATCAAACAATCTATGTTGCTGATACATCGAATCATCGTATTGTGGAATGGAAACGAGGTGCAACAAGTGGCCAAGTGGTTGCCGGTGGAAATGGACAAGGAAGTGGAGATCATCACTTGGATAGCCCATATGATGTGATTATCGACAAAGAGAGAGATAGTCTCATCATATGCGATTATTTGAATAGAAGAGTGGTTCGATGGCCTCGTCGAAATGGGACAAGTGGAGAAACAATCATCTCCAACATCTCATGTGTGGGTTTGACAATGGACGAGAATGGATCTCTCTATGTCATTGATGATGGAAAAGCTGAAGTGAGACGATATCGAAAAGGAGAATCTCAAGGAACAGTGGTTGCAGGCGGCAATGGACGTGGAAATCGTCTGGATCAACTCTCTCGCCCACAATACGTATTCGTCGATCGAGATCATTCAGTGTACGTAACTGAATGGGACAATCATCGTGTGATGAAATGGATGGAAGGTGCAAAACAAGGCATTGTCGTGGCTAGTGGTCAAGGAGAAGGAAATGGTCTTACACAATTGTCTTGTCCTCAGGGAGTCGTTGTCGATCAATTGGGCACTGTCTATGTGGCTGATCTAGGGAATAATCGAATCATGCGTTGGCCTAAAGGAGCCACACAAGGAAGTGTCATTGTTGGTGGAAACGGTAAACGAGGACAATTGAACCAACTCAACCAATATCAATTCAAATGGGTAACGGATGTTGCGCTGACAGATGTTCCTAAATGTGCTTTTTTTCGTGAGAACGATTCTTGGAATAAATGATCCTTTATGCCGGCAGTGGGGTATGAAAAACGGGAATACAGTGGATTCTACAGACACCACCTATGTTGAGTCTCACGGCGTTTATGGAAATGCATACTGATTCTTCAAAAAAATATCAGTTTTTCTTAGCATTCGTGCTTCTAATGCTAAGGTATCTTGTTAATTTCGATCATTCTTGGATAGACATTAAATATTTTTGCTGTTCTAAATCGTTTACATTCTATGTTCTGAGGTTATGCGCGGGTTATTGAACAGTCTACACAAATGGCTAACGAAAGCTACATAGTGTAAAATCTCTAAAAAACGATAGTTCTTTTCCTATCATGATCGATTGTGAGTTAATTCTGCTGTTTTTATTTCTTTATTTCGAAACATAAACGTGTTTTTTTTACAGACGTCCTGCTTTTTGTTTTTATT